TGGAAGCTGGCTAGGAGGATTAAAAAAACCCAACAACAACAACAACAACAAACAGTGCAACAGCTTCTATGAAAGCTTAACTTTTAAACAAAGCTCCTTTTCAAAAGAAATAAAAACACTAAAATCTCTGCAGGACTTGTGGAAGTGTGAGCCTTACCTTGCACTTTCCCCTCCTCAACTTTCATAGAACTTCAGCTGCTTCCTAAGAGCTTCCCAGAATCCAATACTTCTGAATGGTACTGCAATGCGAGTTCAACGTGAGATAGGGTAACTAACTACATGAAACAAAAATACTGAGCAAAAACATAAAACCCACATGCAGCATCCACACTAGACATGCTCAGTCTCATCCACGCATCATCAGTGGATAATTTCTTTTGTATAGGCTCATGCCTGTAGCTTTATTTGGTCTTAAAAGCTCAGTGAAGAGTTCAGTAGCTCAGACAAGACGGCGGCTAGTGCCTTGACCTAGTAGGTGTCTAAGGAACACATGGGGACTCTGCACATAAATCACAAGGCATTAGAAGTGACTCTGAAAGCCGAGATGAAAAAAAATCATCAAAATCTCCAGCCACTCTCTGGATCTGGTTGTGGTAAGCAGTCTTTAAAGGGAGCTTCTCTAGTGGCCTTTGTATTTCTTAGTTTCATGCATCACTGGGAGATCTTTGTAAATATATTAACGCTCAGTACACCTTTCCAACAAGAAAACAGGTCCTGGGTAAAGACAGGAGAATGACTGGGAGCAGTACAAATCATTCTGGACAAAATCACAATCAAAAGTGACAAACTTAATAGTTGCCTATTCATGGAGTAACATGCATTGCTGACAGTCCTACGTTAAGAGGACTACGAGATTTCTGACAATGGAGAAGGACCAAAGCATGCTGGAGATGAAAGTATAAACAGTATAAACTCTGAGTTTTAACCTTCATGCTGAGAAACCTGCCCCACTTCCCTTCCCCAACCCCTGCCGACACAACTACTACCTTATCAGTTCTGAATGCAAGCTTGATTTGACCAAATTCAATTGCCTGCTCTAAGTATGCCATTATTATATTCATGTACCATACAGTTCTGTTTAAAGTTCTCACAGAACATGTGCCACTTACCTGCAGGAAAAAAAACCAACCAAAAACCCAACAAAAGACCGACAACACACCACTCCTTTTTTTTTTTCTCACTATGTTTTTACTCATGCAACAAAAAGAGACTATTCACGAGTAGTATTAGTCATGACTCAAATCAAGCTGATATAATTTCAGAATACAATGGGGAACCTAATGAACTTCAAAGAGTTTGATAGGGCGCATATCAGAACAGCAAAGGGAGGTAGGGTATTTGAAATATTACAACACATTAAAGTGTCTCACTGTGGGGATAAACATTGGCCCAAGATTGGTATTTGCCACAATACTTTGTCATTCATTTCCAGTATTTTGTTTTAGATACCAGCTGGGCACCCTCCCAAGAAAACCGTAATCTTCTTTCTTGGAAGGGACAGATTTCAACGGAACACTATGCAAACACCAATATCTTCCCTCTATGACCTTTATCTAGTTACGAAACCATACGTTAAGAATAAGACGCAATTGCTCCAACGCAGAATTTAAATGTAAAATAAAGAATCAACACTACTACTTTAAAATGTTTGGTAATAGCATAAAAAAAATGTGTTTTAAGCCAAAGGAAGCTTTCCTAACAAAGACACGGCAGGCTCTCCATCTCAAAGAGTGTATGTGCTTGTTTCCAATTAAAGCAAACACCAATAATTTCATGCACATATTTGATTGCAAATGAACTTTCTGTTTAGAGGCTGAAGAAAATCAATTGCTTATATAGAAAGCTTTACTCTAAAACCAACAAAAAATCTACCATAAAAAAACCCCACCCCACAACTTCAAGATACAGATAACTAAAGGAAAAAATTATTAAAAAGAAATCACTATTGTCAAACTAATCAATATTTACTTTCTGAATACAACTTTTCCCACTATATTAAAACATTTTAAAAATTAATTTTATAGTGTACTTATTCCTTGAAAGGAGACTTTCCACAGCAGTTTTGTTAAATATTGAATTGTCTTGAAAAAATCATAATAAATGCAGTTTACTCGATTCCTGAAAACTCAGTAGGAGATGCAAAACTACGTCTTGCTCACTCCTTGCAACCACCAGTTCAAAGGAACTAGTCACAGGAATTTAGCTAACTTCGTTGATTAAAAAAAAAAACCAAAACACCCACCCACAAAAAACCCCACAGTTTTCCTGTGCGAGGTCTACAGATGGCAGCAAAAGTAAGAAAAGTCCACTGAAGCGGTATGACTCAAAATACCTAGAAGGTAAAAGCGCGCCTTCTCCAAAGTCAATAGGAACTGTTAATAGCTGCACGGAGCTAGGATTTCACCAGTTATAAAAATGGTCAGCTAAGTGAATATTCACAACCAGAAGACTTATTCTAGTAAACCAAAATATTTGTGGTTAGAAAAGTAGAAGCAAATTTCATACCTACATTAAAAATGTTTCCATTTGTCAGCTCACGGTTTTAAGTACAACTCTACAACATTCTGGGAAATGAATGATGCAATCAACACTTCCCATAGCGAGAGAGGGCTAGACAGCATCTGCTTTAGCAGTACTAAAATACTTGAAGCAAACAATTTCGCTAATGCATACCAGTGAAAAGGAGACAGCCCCCTTAGAGATTTTTAATGAAAACAAGAGGGAAAGCAAGATAGAAAAGCAGTTAAATTCAGTATACTCCCACTAACATATTACAAGTAAATACAATTTTGTAAGAACTCTGGATCTCCATTTGTTCTGTGAAACTCAGAAGAAGCTTTAGGAGCAACTTAGGTTTTCCAGCAAATTGAATGATTCTCAATCTCATTCCCCAAAAAGAAATAAATCCCTAAAGAACCTCCTGTCTTTGCTGTGTGAACGTGGAAGTTCAGAGGGAAAACTCGCAACTAGGTCTAACACAGGCAGACTGCTATTCTTACACTCTCAGTAGACATGGGCTCGTCCTGAAAGCAAATCAGAGCTGGAGCTCAGCTTTAGCTGCATCCTCTATTCTTGCAAACTAACTTAGAGAAAGAGCCTGAGTGATCTAACATGTCTAGATTAAATTTTTTTTTTTTTTTTTTTACTTTTTTTTTTCCCCTGCCAGGCAGGAAATGAACAGATACATTACTGCATCAAGGGGTAGCTACTGTAGTTTTTCACAGCTGAAGCAGTTTTATGATAAACCAGTCACATTTATTTATTTTTCACTTGCATCTTTTGCGAGAGCTCCACAAATTAAAAATGAAAATCTGAAGTCAGAGAACTGCAAAGTATTTCTGTACATTTAGAATTGCTACTGATTCAAATTAAAGATGACATACAGCAAGATACAGAAAGTTTTACAGCAAAAAATTTGGAGAATTGCCAACTTAGGTCTCCTATTTATGAATTCAGTGATCATTTGACATTCCACTGTTGCTTTTCAAGAGATATTCAGTAGTACATCCTGATGTATTTGCTTCTCACCTGCACCAAAAGGCTCATTTTTTGAGTTTAAATCTCTTTTTGAAAGAATTTGTGTTTGGAAATACATGGAGGGATTTTCTACCTTTCTGGAATGCCAATAAATACGTATGGTACACATGATGAGACTGTGTTAGAAAGATCGCTAAACTGATCTTTAAGATCAGAGGAAACCGGAAAAGATTTTGCATCTGTGCACGAAGGAATAACAAGCTTTTACATCACACTTTAAGACTTTATGGGCTAGGAAATAGTAATTATGTTCTATTTATAGTGTCCTTTACTTGAATGACATATTAACTTTATTCCTTGTTTAGAACACTCACCAACAAGTGCTGGCTTTCCTGACACTTTGCTAGTTCCAGGACAATGCTGTTCTATAATCTCACTTCCTCCTTCCACCTGCCCTGAAAAGAAATTTATTTGCATAATACCTATTTTTAGCAGGATAGAGCCTATATTTAAAATTAGTTCTAAATAATTATTTTAGTGACTACGTATCAGATGCTCAGGCATATAGGCAAAAATGTACTGATTACGTAGACATATATAGAATAATCTGTCCTGGGAAGATAGGAACTAACACTGAAGTCATTCCAAACATTAAATTATTGCCTGTCTAATTTGAGAAAGTGTCAAGCCCTAAAAGTCAGTACAAAAAATATTTTTTTTTAAAAAAAGGGAAGATCTTGAATATAGATTCGTTCAATTTAGAGGGGTCGCTAACTTATTCTGCAATAATAGCTTTCCTTACATTATTGACTGTTCTTTCCTCCTCAGTGTGTTAAAGGGGCTGTCGACTTTGCTAATTCTTAGCTTAAAAAAAAAGCTCTACTAGCAGTGACTTACCTTCAAAGAGATCACATTAAAATTAAAAAGTTGCATTTATAATGAAAACTCAGCATATTCTATGAAATATTAAACATTTTTTATTTCAGGCCAGCAGAGTATTGTTACAGGCATGCACCTCTTCCTCTGCACTTGCACATGATCAAAGTTGGCACTCCCAACCACCAAAAAAGTTAAATGGTTATTACAGTACAGGCACAAAGTAGCCAAACAGCTTTACTTTCATTAAGCAAAGCCATGATTGTGCTCTAACAGCATTTCTTACTAGTGCATAGATTGTTCTCTCTTCTTAAGAGCAAGCAAGAAAGGGAAATATCCCTTAACTGAAGGAACACAGGTGACAGTGCTGCTACTAAAACAGCCATTTAATCAGTGGAAGAATGACAGATACCTGGATACACTGGATGTCTTCCTTCATTGATTTAGTTGCACTTAGTAGCTCACACGGGCTTGCTCAGAACTGGATTCAACATCCTTGCAGGTCTCCATTACTGCTTTCATTATTATAACACTATCAAAGTTCCACATCTGAAGATCCAACAGGAATTTTGGTGAGATTTTTTGTTTGTTTGGGTTTTTTATATATATATATTTTTTTTTTTTTTAAGTAAAACAACAAAAAAACCCAGAAGACTGTCAGTATTGCCATTCCCTCGCCCAAGACACTGCTTCATAACAACCATTTAAAATCTCGTTCCTTTCTAGAAGCATCAATTCCCTTCCATCAAGAAGGCAGCACCAGAGACGTTTCATATCATTCGTAAATTAACACAACTAGTGTATTTTACTGCATTTCAAACTTCCAGTTTCAGTGGTAAAAGTTAACAATTAGCACATGGAATGAGTATCAGATACTTATATGTATCAAAGGCAAGTTAGCCACAAAAACCTCTACAAACACATTACAAACAAAACTAGCAGCAAACACTGCTATCATTACACAGTACCCTTATATGAAACATGACTGATTGGATGGCCATCTGGAAAACAAGCTGATAACTGTAATGTTATAAAAATAGCAGAACAAATACTTGATCCATAATAACTGTATGAACAAGTGTTAGAAGGGGGGAATTAAGCATGATTCGGTTAACACAAATGCCACTTATACAAGAGTGCCTCCAAGCCACAAAACATGTAGTTTCAGTTTTACATTAATAATCAAGACTTCAGTCTGATATATGCAACTGACTCCGGTGAGCATGTCGGAATAGGCAAGGGAACCTAATTCCATAGATTCTTCTCTACTGCATGCAGCCCCATTCGATTGCTGTGAATGCCCGTCTCTGCTTATATGACACTTGGTAGCAGCAAGGTGTACTGCAGTTCAGAATGGAGGGAAACGGCAGAAATGCGTATACCATGCTGTCATCAGAGGTAAGTTTCCAAATATGCACAATAGGTGTATAGTTTGTTTCTAGGCACATCTTTGGTTACATTCTCAGTACAGCTTGCTTTACAAAAAACAATAAATAAAATAGTCAAGACTTGGTTAAAGTCCAGGCAAAGATAAAACTTCTTTTTTTTTCAGAAATTGAGATAGTAGAAGTCCCTTTAAACTGACATTTTATTATATCCATAAACGATAAAATCCCAGTGCTACAGTAAGGCATGTAAATACTGAACCTGAAACAAAATAAAAACAGGGATGAAAATGGAGACCATAAATCATTAGCTCTTGGAACATTTCTTCAGAAAGCTGCGTACAACTCTTACTACAATACTAAAAGTGTAACCACCACCCCTTCCCTGTCTAAGAAAATAAGGTTTTAAATTTACAACAAACAATTTCAAGGTGGAGGGGCACAAAAAATGACAAATAAGAAGGAAGAAAAAAAAAAAAGAGTGCAGGAAGACTAGGCTGGAAAACTAGCAAAAGGCCGAAAGAAACCCTTAGTGGCTTACCATTCCAAAAAAGATCAATATGGCAAGTTACAGTTGTAAAGTGGGGAATTATTAAATCACAGTCAAGTATTCAGCAAACAAATGAAAGCTATCTTTAATGAGGTTTATCATTGTGCAATTTTTTATGTTTCTATTTAAATGAAATCAACTTTTGGTTTCTAGATACACACACAAAAGATTTTTGCCATTGTTTGCAACAGCAGCACTTCAAACACAATGCAATTTTTTTTCCCCCATGCAGAGTTCAACATGTTTTTGAGTAGGGATGGTGGGGGAAAGAATTTCCTCTCATTTTAATAAATTGCCTTTCATTTTCCAGTAATGACTCTCTCTAAAGGATATGAAGTACAGTACTATGAATAGACTTAAGTGATTGTACTTGTGACAAAATCCATTGTGAAAGAGTAATCAAAAAATCAAAATCAGAAGAATAATTTTCTACTGCAAACCTGCTTATTTAACAGCACTGCACACTCAGTAGAAAAATGTCAAAACATTAGTCACCTAGGGCAATAATGTAGGCACACACACATATATAGTATTTTTCCAATACACATGCCTGAAATATGAAAGTTTATAAAGAATATGTGGTGTTGAAGTCAGAGAAGCTGAAATGTTCCATTTTGCATGAAGAAATCCTAGAAATGTATGCAGCAGGCTGCTTTTATAAACTATGTCAGGCAATAACCTGGAGGTTATTTAAAAGACAGGTAGACAAGGTGCTTAGGCACATGGTTTAGTGGTGCAATTGCAGTGCTAGGTTAACGGTTGGGCTTGATGATCTTAAAGGTCTTTTCCAACCTAAACAATTCTATGAATCATAGAAGAACTTTTTGGCACTTGTTAACAGGCAGTCTTTTAGGTTTCTCATATACAGTATTAGTACAGTAAAAAGCAGAGGAAAAAACCCAAAAAGTCATACGGCCATAGCCCATGCAAAATACAGTTGTGAATCATAGGAAACTTTGGGTTAAGTACACAAATAAGGCTGTCAATCTTGACTGAGACTATTTCAAGTATTTTTTTTTTTAAATCAGGCCCTTTATGAATACAGTCAATCAAGAGTTTGCCAAACATTTAACAATGTTTAACAGTTTCACCATCAGAGTCCTTACCTGCTAAGTACTTGATATTATCAAGTTTGTGCGACTCGAGCATTGTTTTCAGATCTGCAACTTCTGTGTCTATTTTTCTGTCTGTTTGGGTCAGAGCTCGATCTTGTTGTGCATGCTAAAACCCAAAGTAATAAGATTACACAATTTGAACAGTTTCTAGTTTAATTAGAAATTTAACCCATCCTTTGAAGTTGTTATTTTTGGTTACTCCTTAAACGTATGTTAATTTGCATTCAAAGAGAACAAGTTCCTTCCCAGCTGATTATATCCAAGGAATTGAATCATTTGGTGAACTCAGGAAATTTATATGACTACATGTTCCTTAACACGTAATCTAGAAAGTGGCAGAACTGGATGCCTTCTTATCTCAATCTAGTAATATAAACATTAACTTCGACCTGTCGTCTGGCCCACCTTAAAGTCACTGCTCAATTAAAAGAGCTATTGAGAACTCTTAAGAGCCTCTTGTGACAAAAACATACCGGAGCATAAAGATTTATGGTTCATTAGAAAAAGTGAGAATTGGTCTTCTGATGTAAAAAAGCACGTCTTCAACTTGTAATGAATTCTACCACAAAACCAGCTACTGTCATAATCAGATTCTGAATTTTGTCTGAAGACAGGACTTCTGTAAAAAAATGGGATAGAATTATTACTCAGAAAAGTCTGAAAGATCAAACTTGTAAACTGAGAACAACAGCTGCTGAGTTGCTGATATTTTCAAATCAGCCCTACTGAAAAATTGTGAATCAATTAATGATTTACTGCTACACATCTTCCTAGAGATAATTCCCTATGCTACAGAAAGGAAACAAGAGGAAGCAGTGGTACTTGGTAAAAACCTCCTCTAAAGTTAAGCCAAATCAATCTAGTGATGTCTTTCAGTCTCACTGAATACTTGGAGGGGAGAGAAGGGGGGAGTACGGAATTTCACAAACTAACATTAAGGTAGAATTCCATCTAGAGAAAATACTACATGCATGAAGTTTCAAAACAAAATGACCACTGAACAGTTTATATACCCATGTGGAGGGTCTAATAATAGCTATGAAAGCCTTTTTTTCCTGTAGACACTTCAGTTATCTGTACCAATATGAACATACACAGGGAAATAATAAAGCACAATAACATTTTGTACATTAAAGTTCCTAAAGACATGAATAACTCCAAAAAGAATACCAGGTCTATAACACAAGTACACAAAGATATGCTGTGTAACAATCAGCTACCAAGTTCTTACCAATTCCACTATTTCTGTCCTCATTTCAAGTAGTTTTCTTTCATTAAGTGAGTACTAGAGGCGGGGAGAAAGGGAAAAAAGAAAAAAAAAAACAAACATGATATTGCCATTAAACTCCCCCCCACTTAAAAGCATGTTTCTTTGTTTCCAAATTCTACAGAACACTGAATCTGGACAAGATTGCCTGACAACACTTGGGAGACAGAATTGTATGGTAATTGCTGTCTTTCGGAAAAGCACAATTTAGACAGGTGATCATCCACACCTCTAAGCTGTGAAGTGCAACAAGTCCATCAGACACTCATCTTCTGCAAAATCTGTACATATTAATATAATAAGCAGCTGGAAGAAAGGTTGGGAGATTTGCATTTCTGAAAAACAAAGACCTACAATTCTAAACAATAACTCTGGAAAGTTAGATATTCAGTTTTAAGTCACATTACAATCCAAGTAAACATGGTAATGATGCTCTGCCTACTATAGAAAATACTGTATTACGTCTCACCCCCAACTCAGCACATACGCTACAACCTGTTTCCCTTTCATCTGGCTTTTTCCTTTTCTGTTCACGCATGGTGAAGCTGGCAATTAAAGTGAGCAAGTGGGGGGAGGAAAAAAAAAGAAAAAGAGCAGTTTTCATAGCAACTATGAAGTTACAGTTGCATAACAGACTACAAAGTTGGTCAACTTTCTGAAGAGAAAGTTGACATGCACAGTTTGCTTTTCCTGGAAGGCTGTCAAAATAATGTAGTGTTCTGAGCAACAGACACGAGTCCAGATTCCAGGATCCTACATAAATATACAAGAAAACACTAGTGCCTAATCTATCACTGGTGAAGTGATTTGAAATAGGTTTTGTAAGCCCAAAGTATTGCAAAACTTGTGATCTACATGGTTAATAAATTTCGTATGATGTTTTTTTAAAACATTAGCATAAAGTATTAACCTTTAAATAAGAATCCTACCTGCTCAAATTGTACTTTATTCAAGCATCTACCATGGGATAACAGACTGTTAGTCATTACACTGCATTGCTGACACAGCTGTTACCTAAACTAATCATTGTGAAAAACTTCAAGGGGCACAAACAAAAGATAAGCGGTATCTACTTGAAGAGTTGTTATTGCCTAGATTGGAGATAAATATTAAGTCTTCATTACACACCTGTGAAAAAGGACTGACTAAGAAATAAAATTAATAGAAAAATGTCATTAAAACATCTTTCAATTTAGAAGATTCAATTTCTTTGAGATCCTAAAAGCTATTCAGAAGAGACCTATGGGAACAGAACTCTATTTAGTGCTACGTGTAATGCAACAACTTGTTAATCTTCTAATTTTTCATCTACGTTATTCTAATTTAAGATCACATCAATTCAGTTCTACCAGATATTTTGAAGTCCGAAACAATCTAAACCAGTATCAGTTACAACTAAAAAAACCCCCAAAACCCAAAAAACCCCAGCAAATTACAACTATTTTCACAATAGGTATTTCCTGACAAACTAGCTACACTATAAATTCTCTAGCTGTAGGGACATGAAACATCTTCCACGATGACCAATTTAATGAAATGTGTAAACTTAAATTAAGTGTGAAAATAGAGAAAGAGATATACTAACAACATAGAACAGCTCTAGACAGCCAGTCAGCACATTTAGATTAAATATCTAGTATATTTAAGTGTAATGTATTAACCCTGATATTAAAACAGTATCAAAATAGATAGACATACAAAACCAAACATGGTACCTTGTACTATAGCAGCATAAGGATGAGTAACTTGGATTAATACCACCTTGAAGCTGAATGATACTGTAGATTAACATGAAAATGCTCTTTGGGTAAAATGCTCTTAACCAAATTTGGAGATTACTCACTGTTTAGATGTTTCTAGAAGAAAGTAACCAAAACTTACCAATTCTTTTACTCTGCTCTTCTCTAGATTTAGATTTAACTTGTTATCTGCACGAACTTTCGTAATTTCATCCTAATGGGAAAAAAATTGATAAAGCAGTAAGAAAGATTTTCTATTTAAACATAAGCAGAAAAAGACAAATATATTATGCCTTTCTCTATATCTCAGGAGTCAAGCTTCTCTCCAATTAATGTACACAATTTTCAAAAGTGTAAGTATTCCTATTCTTCCCCCAGGAAATACTCATGTTCTAGAATATGAATTGGATCTCAGAATCAAAAACTAACAATTGCTTTTAAAATGAGAACACTGAGAACAGCAGTTAATTGAGAGCACATCCTTCTACAAATGCTGGGAATGTTTCGTATGTACCGTAACTCTCTAATATCTAGAAATCCATGCCCAGGTATACATGTAAGTTGGACTTCCTCCATGAAGCAATCTTGATGCTCAAAATAACTTTAAAAGCAGTTTCTAACCTTCTCACGTAAAAGAAAATCTGTTTCTAAAGACTACATCTTAGGGCTTTCAGAAAAAACTACAGACATTTTAGAAGTCAGGAAATGTTTCTTTTATTTTTAAACATCTAACTTTTTTAAACTACCATAAGTCGTACACATCCATTTTACTTCATCAATAGCTGTAAGTGATTCCTGCTTTTCTCAGTGACAGCTGCCATTTTAATGCAACCTCCTGGCAGGAATTCCAGCCAGCTGACAGTTTGTCATGAGGCAAACTGCTGATCAGATGAATGTGTGGGAGAAGCAAAAGATTGCTGATGTTCTGGGAGATTCTACTGTTAAAAACAAGCAAGCATCTCTCAAGTAGGCCAATGTCAATTATTCAAGAGTTCATTAAGTTAGTATGAATAATAATTAGACTCTATTTCTATGTTTGAATTTTTGAACTTTAACTGGTTTATAATTAGATGTCATTACAACACGATACATTACAGTTTAATGAATCAACAAATAATTTTTTCTTAAACTTTTACAACATTGTGTCTTCTTGTCTTTCAGAGGAACAAGTATAAGCAAATGTAATTCTCACAAGGGCAAGTTATTTTATATTTATAGGTAGAAGTAAAATTGAAAGACATCTAGTTTGTAAGAAAAGATGACTGAGATTCTTGATATTTTACCAGTGGATTATACTAACTCATTCATATGCAACTAAAACAATAAAATAAGTTACAATTAAAAAATGAGATATCGATGTATTTTAAAATGGTATTCTGAAAACACAGATGCATTAAGCATTTCATAACACAGTATAAAACATGCAGGATTAGCCTTGAGAAGTTTATATTCTCCTTTTGGAAATGACAGAGCAAAAAAGAAACTGAATAGGAAAGAAATGGCACGGAGGTGCTAGGCTGAGTTTCACCACATTGTCAGCCAGCTTAACAAGGCCAATATTCTGCCAGTTT